CTAGGAGGCACGCTGAGCGCCTATTGGATCGTAGAAGTTGATTCTGTGGTAAGCGGATGCACCCAGACATGGACGTTATCATGGTTTGGGCATGGATGCTCTGGGAAGCAGACGTCTCTCTAGTAGCTGCCCGAGCCACACATGCTGCCAGACGATGCAATGCTGGGTCGCGGGTCACCTGAGCATGGGGCGCAGTTGCCCAAATTTATAATTAAGCGCAGTTTCGGTATAGCGCGCAGACTAGCGCTCAGGTACTGAACACTAGAGTACGGGAGACCACCCGTAAAGTGCGTCCAGGCGGAGGGTTAAACCCCGAAGCTCCATCCTCCCTAAACCCTAAAACCACAACCTCCCTAAACCCTAAACCCTATCATCCCTAAAACCCCAAGCCTTATAATGCCTAAGCCAAGGAATTTGGATTGCTCAAATCGTGGTTGGCTGAGAAATTTGGGGTCCGATCTCCTCTTCAGCGGTGGCGCAGTTTGCAGGACTCACCATGCCTGTTTGCTAAGCTATCCTATCTGCTGGGTTGCTGCTGAAGAACGTACATTATGTTACCATAATATGGGTACATAGCAGATACTGCATTGTACTATATTCCTGCACTGTCAGATACCCTTCAATAGATTCGAGCAGTATCTTCAAGTCGGGCCTTATGGTCGCAAGTTGTCCAGTGTACCGTAAGATTCCATCCCGTTTTGGCTTTGGCACTTGATAAGAGGAGCGTGATTTTACTTGGTCGAACCAACAAAAGCATTCCTCCTATGCTTATACAGGAAGTGGCGCTGAGAATTAGCAATCTTGGCGATACTTCATAATCATGTCGTACTCCACACGGTCTGCATGTAAGGCTGTTGCCAACTTGGAAGTACAGCATGCTCTCTGCATGTTGCGTTGGTCTGCAATTGCTTTGTTACGGCATCGCGCCACGTGTTTGGCCCTACATCAGCAACAACATCTCTGTCTCGGCTCTCACCTTGTGCCCCTTTTTTGAGGCTGTGTACTTGTAACACGAGCGTTGGGTCCCTGAATGAGACCATCATGGGGCTTCAGAATATTGGAATGGTTGGGTTGTCCTCTTTTCGGACTTTCTGTGGGACACCACATGGGGGCATAGATTGCAGGATTTTGGTGAGTTAAACGAAGGTATTCAGGGTTCACACAGAGCGTTCGCAGGAATTCATTCTGCATTACACCCGCCCTGCAATTGGTGGATGACGATTTGGTGTCCGATTATGACTTGGCGCTGATTCTGAAGTCCTTGGTTGATAGTGGGCAGACGAGCCACAGCTTCGTCACACCGGTAGGGCGGGCTGTGCTGGAGATTGCTGATGAAAGATCAAAATATGTGCGCCGGCTGCACGCCCTGAAAGATACGCTCTATGTCTTCGTGTTGTTCATCATGGGGGATGCGCTCCGCCGAAAGGCCCTCTGTCCAGACTGGGCCATTTGGACATTTATGGCTTTGGCAATCTTAGTGGCATTCAACTTCCTGAGCAAGATGATCTTGGAACTCTCTTTCTTCGTTTCCTCAGATAAGAGTCTTTGATGAGCAGTTGGTGGTCTCATATTCAAGTCCTCTTTTTGGTTTACAGGGCCTACGTTATCCTAAGCCCAAAGCTCTGAAAGCCTAAACCTTTAACCTTCAAACCCTATAAACCTGAACCCGTAAGCCTGAAGCCTGAACCTCAAATCTTACTGGTTCTCAGTACGGAATAAGGGAATAAAGCCCGTGTATAATCCCAATATAGTTTATTCCCTCATTCCCTACTATAGACCCCGCCCGTAAGTAAAGCCCAAAGCTCTTCGAATGCTAAGACAACCCAGGAATGCTTGGGCTGGATTCCGCGCAGCATTCCTCAAGCATACGACCACTTGGAATCTGGGGTGTTCTTGTTATGTAGTCTAGACGCCTTCAAGCTAGGATTGTTTAGTGCGTTACATAGGTGGCTTTTGTGGGAGTTATTAAGAGGGATAGTAGGAGTTTAGACTATGTTTCATTTAGAGCTGAGAATGTTCAGAGTTTATGTTCAGTTTGGTGCATTTTCTGAACCCAAAGCTTCTCGGAAATGAGCCGTCTCCTTCATCTTCCTATAGACCCTAAACCCTAACTCTCTGAAACTCAAACCCTATCTCAACTACAAAATGCCAGGAATCTGCTGGTTGTGTGTTCGGAAGTCTTCTCCATCTGGGTCACTCTCAGGTTTGTGCCTGGGACATGAACAGTGGCCATTAATGGTATGAACTGTAGTCTAAACTCCTTAAAGGTGGGTATATAGGGGATAATAGAGGGGAGGATTCTAGGGGTTATTAAGGGGAATACTAAGAGTGTAGCTAGCCGCATCAAGTCACGAAAGCTTCCTGGAAGGGAGCTTCGTTTTATACCTCAAAACGTGATCCTGGGGGGGGGTGCGGGAATTTAGCCTGGTGTTTTGAGCTGCCCTGCACCACTGGCTGGATTCGCCCGTGTTGGCTCGGAGGGCTTGTTGAGGATTCTTGGGTTGAGAGATCTTGGGGATCTTGGGGTGGTCTCGGGGGATCTTGGGAGGTCTTGGAGGGATCTTGGAGAGCTCTTTTTTGGATGGTCTTCTGGTTGTATATCGTCGTCTCTTCACATCCTGTGTCGCCACTCCTGTCCATTATTGAGCTTCCGTCCCAGCCACCAGTTTAGGTAGTATTAAAAGGAAACGATTCCTTGGCAGGATAGGACCACCAACCAAGCGCACGTCTGAGAGCGTTCAAACGAAAGAAGCCCCCACAGGCGAGCGCAATTCCGAGGACGCTAAACGCCAGAGCCGCGCGCGGGCCCGCGCACACATACGCTTGTGTATCCATCCACAGCCCAAGTCAGTTTGTGTTGACCAAGCGTAGCTTGGTATATCTGAAGAGCATCAAGCTCTTACGGAGGTCCGTCAATCTGGGACTCAAGGCTCATCAAGTTGTTTTTAAAGTTCTTCCCCGCTGTCTCATCTGTCTGGCCACCATTGGAAGCAACACACTTGAGGGTAGTTTGGGCTGGCCTTCTTTGCAGGTA